CATTGTATCGTAATCAAGATATTAAAACAAAAATTGCCACTGGCTATTTTGAAATAAAATGCGGTGTTCCAATTTAAATAAAATAGTTTGTAATTAGTTTTCACATTGATTTTTAAATATCCTGCTATTAAAATCTTTGGATGTATAAAAAATGTTTTTGACAATTGCAAGTTTCTTTCATTTAAATAAAGAGAAACAAATATGGTTCTTTATACCTTGATTAGAGTACAACGTCATCTTAAAATTGTAAAAAATTATCATCCATGCAATTTCTTTGTACACCAAAAAGTGTGTACTATGAAACCTTGTGAAGGGAAATTAAGGCAACTTGATCTATTTCGTCATGAATTGATTGATTGATTATTGGTTGCTTAATGTCCAGTTGCAAATATTTCATGCATGTTCCGGACGATGTCATTAGTTAAAAAACCGTGATAATGTCTGAAGAGAATGTGCCATCTATATATATATATATACATATTCTGATAAATCTTTTAGTTTTTACTTTGAAATGAATAAAATAAACATAAACCCTAGTATCTTTGATATATTGGTAGTTGCTTTTTAATGACTATTCGCTAGACTATCTATTGGGACATACCAGGGGCTGTTCCAGCCATTTTCAAAAGGGGGTAAGGTTCCAACCCAGGATATAAATGGGGGGGGGGGGGGGGTTTCCAACCCAGGATAAAAGGGGGGTCCAGCCATATGTCCCCATTCAAAAGCATTGATCGTCCAAAAAGGGGGTTTTGCTACCCCCCTGACCCCCTCCCTGGATCCAACACTGCATACTATCTATATGTTTCAAATTTATTATAGCTTAAGTTTTACTGTGAAATTGAAAATTGTTTTCAAGACATGTAAAGCTTCCACTGCAATTTAATAATTGCCTGCTTTTGGTCAATTTATTTTGTCACCTTACCATGTAAAGAAGTACATATATAGTTAAACACCGCTTTATATCAATAAACATACTTACACCAGCAGCTACCATCTTTTCATTCTGGAGTCAAGGGCCTTTTGAAATAACATATTTTACAATGATACTATAGTCGAGTAGATTAACAAAATTTCGTTCATGAGCTCCGTTTAACAAACACATGTGATACAAGTAGTCAGCCAAAATAAACTATCAATAGACCAATTAAATGATTACTCGAGTTGTAAATATGTGCTAAACTAAACCTAAGTGACTCTCAGTTTTGTATTAGAAATGAGTATGAACTCACTCAATTATTCAGGGGGAATACTGTTTACACCCCAGTTCTATTGTTATGCTTAATAGTTTCTGTCTCTGAAACAAGTGTAAACTGAATAGATCTATTGGTACGAATAACAATGGATTTTGACCACAGGGTGTGACGAGCGGGGTTTCTGGAAACCCCTGCTTCTTACATCCCGCAAACAAAGTCCATTGTTATTCGTAACAATAGAAATTAATTATTTTTTAAATAGCATGAAAATACTACTTGTGTTCACTACAAATTGTTTCAAGATATTAAAAAACACATTTTAGGAAATTCCAATAGCGAAAAAAAATTAAGCATCTATTTTGAATACAAAAATAATCCTTGAAATACTCCTTTGCTTGAAGGTAATTTTTTTATCCCAGTCATATGTCTCTATTCTAAAGCATTGATCTTTAAACAAAAACGGGGATTCTAACTCCCGGACCCCCCGGATTACCCAGTGGCCGATCCGGGTTGGGGTCCGCGGGTTTGGTCCCGACTTTTATTAAAAAGATCAATGCATTTGAATGGTTTTGACCCTCCTCCCTTTTTCTCTTGAGTTGGGAACCCCCGGATGTTTCAGTGCCTGATTGCCCCCAAAAGGGAGTGGGTTGCTAAAATGCTAAATATTAATATCTGTATCTTTGTATGTTGAGCGTGTCTGGTAGTCGGGTTTCTAATGCAGACTTACCTATTCCTTAGTATGTCCGAATATGAATGTTTGTTTATTCTCGAGAAGAGAGAGGGGGGGGGGGCTTTTTTTATTATAAAATCGTAAGATATAAAATACAGTTATGATTACCTTTATTTAACTGATACAGGTTAGTACTTTGGGTTATAATAGTGCCTTTATCTTTAGTCTGTTCTACCAAATTCAACCTTTGCCACAAAATGTCGTCCGTCTTATACCCGTCCATATTGACAACTGTATACAAGGAGCATAATGTATTTTTTGTTTGTAATATAAATATACACGAAACAGTCAACCTTGACCTGCTGATCCATATTAGCACATGGATTTAACGGGAATATGCAAAACAACTTTGACATTTGTAAAATATACTCAATTGTCAAAGTTTGAACGAAGATAGCCAAAGAAAGGCTACTAGTGGGGTTTCATGTAATAAAAAAAATAATCTTATAAATCATGGTTTGATATTGTCAATAAATATGCTATCGGTTTGGTTTTTTTTTTCATTTAATAATTAATGTTAACAAATATAGGGTTAAGAATGGGGTGTAAGTTAGTTATACACCTCGGGATACGGCGTGTCTGGATTGATTGATTGTTGTTTGCTTTACGCCGCATTAGCACAGAAAGGCTATATCGCGGCGATGGCGTGTCTGGATAAGATACCACTCCGGCCTCCGGCCGACGGGGTTTCTTATCCAGACACGCCTATCCCTCGGTGTATTACTATTACAGAAACAAATCTTTTTCACGATAGAGGTCTAGGTTAGTCTATGAAAAGGTATATACTATGAAATTTAGAGCGAGGGGCTTGCCCCGAGCTCTTCATTTCATAGTATATACCTTTTCATAGACTATCCAATTTAGCACATATTTACAACTCGAGTAATCTTTTAATTGGTCTATTGATAGTTTATTTTGGCTGACTAATTGTATCACAGGTGTTTGTAAAACGGAGCTCATTAACGAAGTTTTGTAAATCTACTCACTAGTATGATTGTAAAATATGTGATTTCAAAAGGCCCTTGACTCCAGAATGAAAAGATGGTAGCTTCTGGTGTAAGTATGTATATTGATATAAAGCGGTGTTTTACTATACATGTTCTTACATGGTAAGATGACCAAATAAATTGACCAAAAACAGGCAATAATTAAATGAGTAGTGGAAGCTTTACATGTTTTGAAAACATATTTTAATTTCACAGTAAAACTAAAGCTATAATAAATTTGAAACATATAGATAGATTGTCCCCATAGATATCGTCTAGCAGATAGGCATTAAAAAGCAACTACCAATAGATCAGAGATTATAGGTTTTGTGTTTTTTTTTTTTTTATTATCATTTCAAAGTAAAAACTAAAAGATTTATCAGCATATATTTCAATTTAGACTTGTTTATATTTTTTCCTTTGGGCTTGTATTATATTTGCCTTCGGGTTTATATGATCCGTTCATCCTATTTTGACTCCTCAAAATTCAAGAGTCTTTCCCAAATTGAGGTAAATTGCATGGCTTTCCAAATACCGTTTCGATTCCTAACATCACTGAAGAGACATTAATTGTCGAAATCCGGATATGGTGTACAAAAACCTTTGCACCTTTTGTTTGCGGTATACCATCTTTTCCGCAAGTTTATTGTTTTCTGTTTAGTATTTAATTTATAATTAAGATCCATTTATTACATCGGTGATCCGTTTATTTGGCAATCACCAATGGCAGTCAGCAGGGTTTAAGAACATTTGTTGTTCGACCTGTTAGTCAAATGCGTTTTGTTAAAATATACTTTTTCACTTTTTTGGTCTTTTGGAAAAAGTTGTTTGTGCTGTATTTAGACCCCTCTAACAAGAAAAAATATAAACAAGTCTAAATTGAAAACAACATTCAAACCTATGATTGCGTTGGATAAAAACCGCAATTTTTATACGTGTGCATGCAAAACAAATTTCTTGGTAGAGGGGTCTAAATACAGCACAAACAACATTTTCCAAAAGACCAAAAAGTGAAAAAGTATATTTTAACAAAACGCATTTGACTTGCAGGTCGAACAACGGATGTTCTTAAACCCTGCTGACTGCCATGGCGATTGCCAAATAAACGGATCACAGATGTAACAAAATGGATCTAAATTTTAATCTAATACCAAATAGAAAACAAAAAACTTGCGGAATAGATGGTATACCGCAAACATGAGGTGCAAAAATTTGTACACCATATCCAGATTTCGACAATTAATGTCTCTTCAGTGATGTTAGGAATCGAAACGGTATTTGGAAGGCCATATAATTTACCTCAATTTGGGATTGACTCTTGAATTTTGAAGAGTCGAAATAGGATGAAAGGATCATATAAACCCCGAAGGCAATATATATATATATATATATATATATATATATATATATACATATGTGGCACATTATCTGCAGACATAATCACAGTTTTTCAATTCATGACATCGTCCTGAACATGCATGAAATATTTGCCACTAGACATTAAGCAACCAATAATCAATAAATCAATCAATTTATGGAGAAGTAGATCAGCTTCCTTAAGAAAGTTTAAAAAAATTATCACCAAGTTGCTTTAATTTCCCTTCACAAGGTTTCATATTACACACTTGTTTGTGTACAAAGTAATTGCATGGATGATACATTATCATTATTTTAAGATATAATTGTACTCTAATCAAGGTATAAAGAACCATATGTATTACCCTTTATTTAAACGCAATTATATGTTACAAAATATTATATCGAACCTTTAAAAGACAGCTTATTGAAGCCTTAGGGAACGACCATTTAACTTCAAAAGGGGGAGGGGTTATGGTTTTTTCCAAAAAAAATATTCTGAATCCAGATTTTCCCAATACCTTATAGTGTTAAATTTTGGAAAAAAATAATTTGATTGACAGTGTCGAAAACTAAAAAAAATGTTTGCGAAATTTGTTTTCTGACTCAGACAAAAAACCATAACCCCCCCCATTGAAGTTGAATGGTTGCTCCCTTGGTACATCCAAAGAAAACTTACAAAATAGAATTATTGAGTGGGGGTATAATAAACATTGATTAAATATTAACACATAATAATGATCACATTTAATTAGAAAAGCAAAATATATAACCAATGACAAATAATTAACAATAGTAAACAGTGTATATTGGACTAAATTCTATATCCTGGAAAAGATGGTTACAGTACATATACCAGAAAGTGCAAAGTTTGTATATTTTGATCTATAAATAAATATATATTTTGCACATAGATACCATTACAAATATGTAAAAATATTCAGTTAGTTCATTTTATTTCTCACTACCAGGGTTAAATTGATGATGTATTATTCTATTTTGAGATATGCCTAACCTGCTTGGAGCCCCCCCCCCCCCCTTCACCCCCAAAAAAATAAAATAAATTAACCAGCAAATTAATGGACTGTAATTTACTGCATGTATATCCAAATAGACATAACTTAATACTAATTCACCTCATCATAAAAACTTAGTGAATTCTTCAATAAAACTGCAATGCCGCTGAATGTTAAGCAAACATCAATCAATCAATCAACTCATTCAATGAAACATTTCAAGACAGAAAGGCCCTAAACTTTTCTTATATGTAAAATTTATCAGTAAAATTCTGATACATCTGTCAACCCAAAATAAGATGTCTTCTTCTTTACTATATCTTCCATCTGTATAAGTATCATTTCAATCAATCAAAGCAAACTTGAGCTACCACCTGGAAACCATAACATTTTTAGTGACATTGACCGTTGAATTATTGAGCCCATAATCAATTTCTCCCTTTTCCCTATATATTCCATCTGTATAAGAACAGGAAGCTCAACGTAACCATCTGGAAACCCTTTTTCCATTTTTTTCCCAATTTTTAGTAGCAGTGATCTTGACCCTTGACCTATTAACCTCAAAATCAATATATTTCTTTCCTTTCCTATATCTTACATCTGTATAAGTTTCATTTCAATCGAGCAAGGAATACTCAAGTTACTCTCCAGAAACTAATTGTTTTGGACACAAGGACGGAAAGATGAAAGGTTGATAGAAAAATCGATTACTACATGGTCCCGAAATTTATATTAGAAGGGAAGGATTTCAGGTGTTATATTTGTCTAAACAATTATAAACATAATATTATTGGTGTGTTGCAATGTGCAATATTTTTGGTAAGTCCTGTTACCCTGTTCATGCATTAGCAAAAATTAACCTTGAAAGTTTTTCCTTTTTTACATGTCAACCAAATATGAATCCACTTGGTACATGTTTATTGAAGGAAACCTGGGAGGTGGCAGCATAGAGGAAGATGCTCTGAGTTGCCTAGGATATCTGAAAATGTCAATAAACACCCCAAACAATTATTAAGATACTTTATGTGTGCTGAACAAAACTTTCACCAATAACTTTTGAAATGTACACAAGTTTAATAAAATGGGCCTAGTACAAATGATACAAAATATTAAAATTTATTTGACTATATAGAAGACAGTTTCAACACTGGAAAATCACTGTTATTTGGATTGATTGATTGATTGTTGGTGTTTAGAAAACCAAAAACCTTCTTTATCATAAATACATACTGAAGTGATTTTACAATTTCATTTTGTTTTAATGACGTTTATTGAGATGTTGAACAACCTGTTGTATTCTATGGTAAAAGTTGAAAAAAAAATACATTCAAATAAAGAATAATAGTTTGATAAAAAGCAAAAGCAACTATAGTAAAATAATAATTATCACATTAAAGCAAACATCAGATCTATTAGTCTTCTTTCAGAAATATTTTCTTCCAGTTTCTATAAAATAAAAACACTCTTAATATCTATAATTGTACATGTTGTACTATTCAGGCAAAGTACCGGTAAATCCAGATTAAAAAAATATGAACACTGAACAAATTCTGCAAAAAGTACAGTAGCATTTGAAATCGTATTAAATATGTTTGTGCTTAACTTATCATTATGAAAACTATTAAATCATAATTCTATAAAAAAATCATCATAAGAAAAACTATAGGTATTTTGCATTGAAATATGAATTTTTGATGAAAAATCATATCAAAAAATGACTTGACAAATTTTGTTCAAATATATCTTTGATTTTACAAAAAAATTCATTGTGCACTTTTCAGGAGGCTATTCTATTAAATATGATCCAGTACTACACCTGAAAATTAAAACTGTGACTGCACCTGTTTTCTTGTAAGAATGCTCAAAAGATATACATTTTTTGTACTGACAAAAAGAAACATAATTTTGTCTATAATAATCAACAAACATGTAAGGGCTGTTCCAGAAAATACTATGTCCCCTCAGGGACGGAACTTTTTTTTAACTCCCACCACCCACAGAAATAAAAATAAATTAGAACAACACTCCCTTTGCATTTTGGTATTTCAAATAAAACCACCCACATAAAAAAAAAAAAAAAATGCCTTACCTGGGGAGACATAGTATTTTCTGGAAAAGCCCTTACATGATACAACATTTCTGAGGGTCTGAATGGGGGATCCTTCATTTGTGTATTTTTCAGGCCATTATTCTCCATTCTTTTTATTGTTTGCCCATTATTCTGTATTCTTTTTATTTTATCTACCAATTATTCTCTGTTCTTTATGTTTTTGGTCCCTTTTTAATCAATTCTTTATAATTTTGGCCCATTTATCTTATTTTGTAAACCATTCAGACCCTCATTTCTGGCAAATGAAAAATAATTGATACAATTAACATAATAACTTGAAAGGCATCACTTTCTGCAGTACATGTGCATTTAGATTTAACTTGATTATCATCTTTATGTCATTTGATTTGACTTGACTAATGTCATTTAGATTTGACTTGACTAATGTTGTTTAGATTTGACTTGACTAATGTCTTTTATATATGATAGATTTGACTAGACAAATGTCTTTTATATATGACTTGACTCACATCAAGTGACTTGATCAACCACAAACTTAAACAATGAACACTAAAGTCTAAAAATAAAGCCAAAACAAAAAATTATCTCCCCTGCTTTTCACCCATAACGTAGTTATACAACAGACTGAGTTTAAACAATGATATACACATCTGCATTAATAAAACAATGCAATTATGTCCCATTGAAAAGGTGTATATCCAAAATTGTCAACCCTAAGGGCGCATCCCAATTAAGAAAGGTTAGCCATGCATGCATAATATGGCAAAGGAGGTCAGTTAGTTCATACTGAGATATCAGTGAAAGTAACCTGAACCTAATCCATGCACGCATGGCTAACCTTTTTAGTTGGATTAGTTTTCATCATATGTTTCTTATCAATTTTTCAGAAATCAAAATTATTCCAGATTATTAATTTCTTGTTATATTGTTAAAGGACCTCACACACAGTTAACTTTACAAATGAAAATTTAAAGGCTTCAAAAGTCATTACAGCATACATAAAGTAGCCATATTAATTAAAAATATTAATTTCTGAAATATGAATGAAAATTAATTAATTGTGTAATAAAGATGACCTACTACAAATATGTATTAAAGATATTGACTTGTAAAATTGCAAATTAAATGGAGAACGGCTGAAGGCAGGTCCACTCATTTTTCCTGAAACTGAGAAATGTGGACACTTGTAAAACAATAAATACTAAGAGTCAACAGTTTGTTTGAATTTATGAAAAAAATTGAATCAGAAACTTGACAGCCAGATAATGTAAACAAATTTTAGTTACATAAAAGTCGTACCGAGTTTGTTGGGTCTCCAGTGGCGGATCCGGGGGGTGGGGTTCCGGGGGTTGGAACCCCTCCTTTTTTTTTTACGATCAATGCATTTGAATGGGTACTTATAGTTGGAACCCCCCCCCCCCCCCTTTATCCTGGGTTGGGAACCCCCCTTTTAAAAATGGCTGGATCCGCCTCTGGTCCCACATTCTACTTAAACCTGAGATGTGTAGAGGCTTGGTAACAATGTAACAATGTTATAACTATTAACACTGCCTATAATAAATACTTATTCTGAATTTGAAAGAATCTCTTATCTTGAAACAGACTTAAAAATTAGTTACTGTTGACCATGCCGTTGTTGATAAGTAGTACCCGTGTCTAGCCTTCAATCCTACAAATCAGACAATTCTGTTTATCTTATGGACATTATTTAAGGATGTTCGCTCCTCTGTTTCAAATAACAAGCTTTTTAAAAGACTGTTAAAATTGAAAGTATATAAATAACAGAACTTTAAAAGCAGAATAAAATGAAAGGTCTGTGTTCTTTTTTTGAGATATAATCAATTGAAAATTTGGCGGGAAATAATTCTCTCTAGATTTTTCATACAATTCATTTAACATTAGCACCATTTTTCTTTAAAAACTAGGAAAAAATAACAAGGATTTCGTAAGATTTTTAAAAATGGCTTTTTAAACTATATGTAATAAAACAAGTGAAACTGCGAGCTACTGCTCACTGATGATACCCCCGCCCAAATATTTTGGTAAACAGGAAGTTGTTGAGTGATGAATCTGAAAACACATCATACGGTATAGCCGACTTATATAAACCCTGAAACCAAATTTCAGAAATCCTTTTATTGTAGATCCGGAGAAAAATGTGCAGAAAATTTTCAACTTGGCTATCATGTGTAAAATGATACAAGTGTTCGGTAAACAGGAAGTTGTTAAGTGATGAATCTGAAAAGGCATCACACGGTAAAGCCGACTTATATAAACCTTGAAACCAAATTTCAGAAATCCTTTTATTGTAGTTCCTGAGAAAAATGCGACGAAAAATTTTCATGGGACAGATGGACGGACTGACGGACTGACAGACTGATGGATGGACAGACAGAGGTAAAACAGTATACCCCTACTTTTTTAAAGCGGGGGTATAATAATTATGAAGAGAAAAGTAGGTGCTAGTGGGAAAAATCTTTATAAACACTACATGGATAAAACTAGAGATGATTCCGAATATCTGACAAAAAGGTAAAATCAAGAGTAGTGAACATCCTTAACGCTATTTACACACAATGACAGAAATGTATCAATTTTATCAATGATGACATTTATGTAACTCTGCTATTTGTCATTTTCCCCCAATTAAGATAATTAAATCCCTTTGCTTAACGTATTGACATAGATTTAATGCCTAATAAGTGCACAAATTACATGATGCAATATAAAAATACATGTGGTCTAAAAAAAAATACTTTGACGGAGAGGAAAAATTCAGAATAAAGCGAATTAAGAAAAACAGTCATTAAATACTTTAAATATAAAAATGAGGAGTTATGGTATGAAAAACGTACAACAATTCAAACTAGAAAACTAACGACCTAATTTATAACAAAACAATATACCAAAAGCAAATATGACAGACATGAACCAACAACAACCACTGTATTACAGGCTCCTGATTTGGGACAAACATATAAAGAAAGTGGCGGGTTTAAAAATGTTTATGAGCACTCAACACTCCCCCTAACTCAGGACAGTGATGAAACAGCACAACATAAGAACAAACTGTAAAAATCAGTTGCAATTGGCTTAACTCTAAAAATTGGTACGAGGCATAAAAACTACTTACAAAAATAAACCAATAGACACAAAGCACCAAAATAAAACATAATCAATACAAGAATCAATAGTTTTAAAAGATTATAAGTTCTGATATGTATTAACTAGGTATATATTCCGAGGACTATATGAACTATTATATATTGAGGAAAAAATGGAAATTTATTTAACTAGATTCATCTAGTTCAGCTCTCTTTCATGAGTCTTGCACACTGAACTAGCTAACTTGAAACCATGAGAATTCCAACAGTGTTATCTACCACTACATGAACATTTACTGTGTATTCAAAAATATTCGTGAAATTTTTTTTTTTATTGAGAAAATTGAATCAGAATATGTTTCACAAAAATAAAAACTTGCTTTTCTAATTTGTATGCAGAATTTACTGAAATCTCAATAATTCTTGCATTTTTGTTAATTTTAAAAAAAAATCGCAATAATAAATTGACGCAAAGATTTCTGCATTAACAGTAAGTTATCATGGATAGCTTTTGACTACAATCATGTTTGCACAAAATTACAATGACAATTATTAGACACTTAGTTAAAAATGGGAATGTGAATAATTTAAAACATACATAACAAAACAATTACAATATTAAAAATTAAGCTTTATATTCATATATACAATGTATATATATATACACAGTGTAGTGTTATATGATAAAGAGGCAATATCTGGGGACAGGATGAAGTAACCAAAATTATTAATGGTCCATTTGAAGATTCTAAAAATAGGGAAATCAATTCATTAAAATTAGAAATAAGTTTCATACAAAATATAAATATTTATCAACATATACATATGTATTATACATGAATTTAAAGTGGGGAAAATGTTCTAGGGGAGGGATCTACAGGAATATCAAGTAGATTTACACAGAAGGAGCAAAGAACAGCTTACATGAGATTTGGTTGTTTTTATATGTTTTTACTAAAACCCTATTCATGTAAAAGTAATAATGCCTTGCATGGTAGATAAATTAATAAACTGTTATCACAGAGATATGTCTCTCCTTTTTGTAATTTTGAGAATGCAAATGTTGAAATTAAAATAGCAATACTTTAACATGTAAGTTATGCAAATATTCAAAGTCGATGAACCATGACTGAAGGTACATGGCTAAACAATCTCCATGGAATGAGATGTGCCAATGCTAATACAACTGCATACCAAATACCATTGACTTATTATAAGTTGTTCCCTTTAAACAAACCTAAACTCAAACATTAACTTGTAAACTATGTAAAAGTTTCAAAGTCAATGAACCATGATCAGGGGTGGGGCTATATAATCTCCATGGAAACAATACTAAGTCTTGCAAATGCCAATAAATTTGCATACCAATATCATTGACTTAACATTAGCAGTTCATCTTAAACTGATCTAATCACAAACTAATACATGTAAACTAAGCAAAAGTTTCAAAGTAAATAGACCATGACTGAGGGGGCGGGGCCAAATATTCTCCATGGAAATGAGATGTGCTAATGCTTATACAACTGCATACCAAATGTCATTGACCTACCACTAGTGGTTCCCCATAAATTGACCTAATCACAAACTAATACATGTAAACTATGAAAAGTTTCAAAGTCAATAGACCTTGACTGAGGGGGCAGGGCCAAATAATCTCCATGGTAATGAGATGTGCCAATACAACTGCATACCAAATATCATTGACCTACCACTAGTGGTTCCCCTTGAACTGACCTAATCACAAACTAATACCTGATAACTTAGCAAAATTTTCAAAGTCTATAGACCATGACTAAGGGGGCGGAGCCAAATAATCTCCATGGAAATGAGATATGCCAATGCTTATACAACTGCATACCAAATGTCATTGACCTACCACTAGTGATTCCCCATAAATTGACCTAATCACAAACTAATACATGTAAACTATGAAAAGTTTCAAAGTCAATAGACCTTGACTGAGGGGGCAGGGCCAAATAATCTCCATGGTAATGAGATGTGCCAATACAACTGCATACCAAATATCATTGACCTACCACTAGTGGTTCACTATGAACTAAACCTAATCACAAACTTATACATTGTTGACGCCGCCGTAAACAGCATACCTATGTCTCGCTTTTTGAGTCCGTCAAGGTGAGACAATAAAAAATCAAAGAAGAATGTGTCCAAGGACACGAATGCTCCCACTCAAGCCATGCAATTTTCCAAGTTCAAAAGGGGTATTATGAGTTTCATAAAATTTGGATGAGACAAACTTGAGTAAGTGTGTGGAAACGAAAAAATTTACAATTTTCTAAGTTATAAAGGGGCATAACTCTAGAAAGGTAAGTGACTCACTGCCCAAATTCGAACTCTGTCTGCAAGTTTTGGTTCTTAGTATTGTGTATGAGTTTCATAAAATTTGCATGGGGCAAATTATTGATAGGCCTGTTTTTTTTTTTATTTTTGGATACATTTTATTGAAAACTTGTATTAGATTTAGTATTAAATCGATGACGCACTGAATAATGATCTAGGTATCTTTGAAGAGACAATATACAATATAAACCTTATTTCTAAATAATCAATTTAGCATGAAATGGACAATACTAGATGCCTATTTATTATTTAAAACTTTTTAAAGATCCAAAATTAATCTTAAACTTATAGAGCAGGATATTTGTGCCTGGAATACTCTTCTGGCAAATGTCTCATCAGTCATTCATCACACAATGTTTAGTACTAATAGTATCTGGAATCGGGAAGTATATGGCTGACAGATCCCAATAGAGCACATACATTACAAATCATCACTGACCAAATATGAGGTCATTCTGTTTAGTAGCTTCGGATAAAAAAATGTGACGAAAAATTTTCAGTTCATTCAACATATTGAAAAAATCAAAGTATAGACAAACAGGACGTTGAAATTTGACAGATCCAAAAAATGTTCATACCTTATAACTCATCACTGTCAAGCTGCTTACTAAATATGAAGTTTCTAAGTTTCTGAGAAAACAGTGACAAACATATTTGTTGGATGATTAGACAGAAGGAAAAGATGATTGTTTAGATTCAATCTAAACTATTCAAATAGGGTGATGGCAAGAAATTCTACACCTAGTGAAAAAATTGTGTCAAAATGTCAATTTTTCTATGTCATATATTTTCTTTTGGAATTGTAGGGTAGATAAAAATCGATCACACGTAACTAGTTAAAAAATTGGAGAAAAATTGATAACAATATACAATCTAAGTATAACTAAGATGAAACCCATTACAGTTAATTAGTAATATGAAATTATGAATATACAAAAAGTATTAATGTGCAAGACATTAATTCAATATTTACAAACTATGCAGTGTACTTTTAAAAAACTGTACAATCAGAAGATAAATCTTCTATTACATATGACCAAATCATCCAAAATTGTTTACATTAAATATACTAAATAAAAGCACTAAAACATGACATTTAAATTATTAAACACATATTAAAAGAAATTCATATTTAATAATAATATAGTGAAACCCATCATTCTTGTATACAAAACTGCCTAAATTGATATCTTGTATCTTGTATACAATAGATGTACATTGTTGGAAAATATAAATTTTATTTGAACTCCCTAACAAACATATAAAGGGCTTGAGAAGGCTACATATTCTGTGATTTAGCTTTGAAATCAGCAAGTAACATTTTTATAGAAATTGACTGGGATTGAAAGTGGAAAGCAAAGAGAATCCTAAAATGAAAGTTAAAATTATTGCTCTTGTCACAAAAGCAATAATTTTAACTTTACTAATCACTTATCATAGGAACAGGATGAAAGAAGCCTCTATTTGAATAAATATAAATAAAACATTTATTTGTACACCTATTATTTGTATTAAAGATAGTTGGCAGATTGCAGGATAAAACGACTTACAAAGAAAATCCTTCTGTTATTCAATATTTGTGTTACAATAACACCTGGTAAAGTGACAAAGTTTACTTTTGACAGGTTCCACTGTATTTGACAGAACACATCCCTCTTTCAGTCAATATATAATACATATATATATATACAAAACAATCCCTGAATATCTAAAGGTTAGGATTTGTTCTTTAATGAAACAGAATATATATAAAACAACAATGTGTCCATAGTACACAGATGCCTCACTCGCACTATCATTTTCTATGTTCAGTGGACCGTGAAATTGGGGTCAAAACTCTAATTTGGCATTAAAATTAGAAAGATCATATCATAGGGAACATGTGTACTAAGTTTCAAATTGATTGGACTTCAACTTCATCCAAAACTACCTTGACCAAAAACTTTAACCTGAAGCGGGCACTATCATTTTCTATGTTCAGTGGACCGTGAAATTGGGGTCAAAACTCTAATTTAGCATTAAAGTTAGAAAGATCATATCATAGGGAACATGTGTACAAAGTTTCAAGTTTATTGGACTTCAACTTCATCAAAAACTACCTTGACCAAAATATTTAACCTGAAGCGGGATAGACGGACAGACGAATGAACGGACGAACGAACGGACAGATGCACAGACCGAAAAACATAATGCCCCAAGGTGGGGCATAAAAATAAACCTTATTGTCATTTTTTATTAATCTACAAAAAGGTATGTAATGTACAGTTACCTAACACCAAATTATGTTGAAATTTGTATATATGAAGAGTTTAATTTATGAACGGCTTTAAAAAATATTGAGATTCAGTTACATTGAAAATTCATTCAAATGGTCTTCACTTCATTGATGTACATATTTTTTTGTACCAGGAATGAAGTGCTCTATTCATCTGAAACAGAAATTATTCCAAACTGCACTATTACAAAATGAAAGTTTATTCTAAAAATAAAGACATGAAATTGTCTCTATATTTTCTTTCTTTTAAGCAGCTAGTTTTTCAGTCAAGCTTTATTTCGGTTAAATTTAAACTTTTTTACTGTTAAAATTTTCGGAATGAGTCAAGTTCTATTTCAAAAGGTGAAAGGAAAACCTGTGCCAAAAAAATCAAAAGTATTACGAAAAAAAAAAAAATAATTCATAAAAAATGCTGAGTGAACAGCCATTAAATAGTTCTTATGGTTATCTGGTTGTCACAGTATTTCGTGGTCAACATTAAATCACTTAATTTTAAATTTGCAAGAAACCCATCCTAATATATGAAAGGAAGTATGGTAACTTTGTAAAAAAATCTTTTTTGTAGATCGATTGCTATTCATACTGATATAGACAAAAATGCTCACCCATGGCATAAAGAGGGTGTCAATAAGCTGCTTCTTTTGCCATTGGTTAAAAAGAATTTAAACCTCAAATTAAGCAATAATGAAACAATTGCACTAACTACATAAACCAAGTTGTTTGAGGGGCAACAACAAAAAAATGGAACTTTAAAAAACAAACATATCAGATGCAATAGTCTGATTCTTGATTCATGCCAATTAACAATATGGCAATTGGGTCACAGGCTAATTTAACAATATGCCAAAAGGACCATTTGCCAATTAACCATCATGTAAAAGGACCATAGTATAATATACATGATATAAGTTTCACTGCACGCAGATCCATTTTTCAATTAAACTCACAAAACTTGGATATTTGAATCCCCAAACATTTATATAAATCTACATTTCCCTATCATCAAATCTCTTGTAAATGGGAATATTTCTGTGACCCATCTCTTCCACGATTTCCACCTTGATCTTGATAAAAATCATAGTCCATTCTGCGTGCTTGAATTTCATCTTCTGGCAAAGCACTGAAGTTAACTCTCTCATGATCATCTCTAAGCTCCACAGTCCAGAATTTGTTGCCGTTTGGAAAGTTGTGCCATTTACGATACAGGACATATCCCACAACAACTCCTATCAGAATCAACAAACCAATACAAACTCCAGCGACTATTCCTCCTGTGTGTGCTGATGTTGCTTTTATTTTATCTGAAAAAATAAAATACACAAATTTGTATAAAAAGGAAGAGCGCACTTCATAATAAACCTATTTGATTTATTTCATAGAACTAGAGACATTTATACAAGAATATATATATGTGTCCATGGGACACCTTTACCCCACTCTCACCATTACATTTCCATGTTAATAAAAACTGTGAAATCTGGGTCAAAAACCTAATTTAGCATATATGTTAAATAGTTCATATCATTTATAATGAACATCTGTACAAAGTTTCACTTTGATTCGACCACAAACTACCTTAAACCAAAACTTTAAAGTGATATTTAAAGGGACAAACAGACAGACTAACAAACAGACACACAGACCAAAAGAACCATTATGCCACTCTACTATTGTAGTTATGGCATAAAAATAAGTTTACCCTGCCACTTGTTCAAATGTCTTTTTGAAGTCAGGAAACTCGTCACTGCTTGGTTTTGAATTCTTTGTTTTTTAGGTATCGATGGCAGATTGTAGATTGCCTTTGTTGAATTCATTCACATGTTTTTCAATTTTGTGTTCCTGATTAGTGTTCCATTTATTAGTTTTATGTTTGTCTTTAAGATAGTTTTTTAGTTGGTGTTTCTAGTTTAATACACAACATTAACAGTTTATCAGTTATTTTCCTGGTTACAGAACATTTTTTCATTTGTTCAGGGTCACAGCACCGTCGTTCAGCAACATGTTTATTGATAATATTTCTCAGTAATTCCTTGTATGTTCCTGTATATTTAACAGACTCCCCCCTCCCCCCCCCCCCCCCCCCCCACCTCACCGTTACAAATACAAGGTCAATTATGCATTGGGTCTCCTATGTAATGATCTTGACACCTGTCATAGCTGTAACCAGTAGTATAAAGAAAAACAAAGGATACGAGGTATCCATCCATGACACAAAATCAGTACATGCACAGCAAAAAAAAAAACACAAAAAGCAAAGGAACAGCACTTTTATTGCTGTTCTTCATCTCAAAGTCACAGTGAGGCCTTCAACACAGAGCAAAAAAACTCTCACCTCACTGCAAGTGTAAGACGTCCCCTAGCACTGGCTTGAGCCTAATTCTTTGCGAAAATAATTTGGATAGACTTTGTAAGATGTTACACCACCAAATCGGACCTGGTCAAAAAAGAGTACATGTTTAAAACAAAATAGTTCCTACGCATAGGTGTAAATCTAAAACTATGTAGCATATATTTTAGTAATCAAGGTATCAGATGAAAGGTGAAGGACTGGTGATCCTTGTAGAACAAATACTTTACTGATAATTTAGAATAATACAAAAATGTATGAATGAATTCTAAAATTGAGGGCATATATTGCCTGTTTCTCAGATATGAAGAACTTGGTCTGGTATGTTCCTTTATATCTAACAGAATTTTCCCCCACTAACCTTTATGAATACAAGGTCGTTTATGCATTGGGTCTCCTATGTAATCATCTTGACATCTTTCACAGCTGTAACCAGTAGTATTTTCTTCACATGCCATGCAATGGCCTACAGAGATAATTACTTATATTGTAAAATGTATTTCAAGAATCTTAAATAATGAAACTCAATAATATAAAAAACAAGGAGATGGGTTATGATTGCCAATAAGTCAACTATCCACCTGGCATAATGAAATTAAATGGGAACAGCTCTCTTACAAGCAATGTTCTTTTTGTTTCATTGTCATTGATTGTTAAATCGTTTTTTATATACTATAACATTTATTAATAGATATCTCTGTTTTTTGTTCACTTATATGTATATTGTATTAGAAAATTTCCATGAACATCTCTACCAAATTGTGTAATTCAAGATCCCTTAGCCAAGAAAATCTCTTAATATGGACAATGTCAAATGAAGATATCTCATTTATTTTAACATTTTGTGAATATTTGGAGACAATTTATTCTCTTAGAAAGGTAGATTAAGTAACTTGCTAATAATTATTCAAAGGATCTAACAAATATAGTTTTAATATGTATATATATACAGAATGAGATATGTGTATTTCTATATGTGATAATATTTTTTCATTGTAAAATATAAAGAAAGATTAAGAGTTTTCCCTCTTTGTATAGAAACAGGTAAACTGACTCATCTCCCCATTCAATTATGTTTCTGTCAGTGTTCTGATCAACCATTTCCAATTAGTATGATAGTTGTGTGAAAAGATGATTGAAAATGGTTATATTGTATGTCTGTCTTTAATATGATAATTATACCTGTTTTTGAGCCTGATAAAAATAAGGAGATGTGGTATGATTGCCAATGAGACAACTATCCACCAAAGTTCAAATGACAGAGATTTATTATATAAAGCAATTATAGGCAACCAATAAATAGTAGGTCATATAATAAAAGAATTTGGATTTAAACTAGCAATATAATGCCATCAATATTGAAAATGAAAGTTCTCACTTACATTGTATACATTCAGAATTTTTTTTGTAATGGTTTGTTAGTTGAAAATTGTGACAGAATAGTTTAAAAAAAAAAACACTGGTATTTTCGGATATAAATTTCAGAATTTACAGTACTTTATCTAACTTTCACACAACTATCATACTGATTGGAAATGATTGATCAGAACACTAACAGAAACATAATTGAATGTGGAGAAAAGTCAGTTTACCTGTTTCTTTACAAAGAGGGATAACTCGTTGTTTTTACTTACCTGTCCTATCACAATATTTTGATCTGCTGTGACACATACATTTCGTACAAGGTTTGTCTGATGAGTGACGGAAATATCCATCTACACATTTCTCACACCGCCTTCCTCCGTATCCTTCTTTACACCCTATGCACTGAAGTTTATCCTCATCTGTAATAAATATATATACATGTAACAAATATTTGCATTTCTATGTTCCTTACAATTGAACTTTTTTTACACTTCAGCTCTTGATGTGAGGCTAAAACAAAAATATGTACCAGGTAGGTCATGTAGGTAGATAAAATAATTTTATTTTTTTGAATATTTTACATCAATTATAAAAGGAAATACTGCAGACTTTTACAGTTCTTAACCAAAAAAGCTGGCATTTTAAACAGTACTTAACCATAAATGTCTATTAAATGTGTTAAATGAAATTGAGGAAGATAGGAAAAATACAACTATATTTTGTTCTGACCTTACAATTATTTGACTGGAACTATGGGAGTATTACAACCTATCAACAAGTAGGTCACTTCGACCTTTTTTTCACACTACAGCAATTTTTTTTTGTAACAAGGTTTAAGTCTCTTGATATCATGTGACTTAGGATCATGTATATTTAGAGTGTATGAGGATACTTCTTTGAAGGGGAACAACAGCAACCCATCAAAATAAATACATGTTTCACTGATCATTTCTGACAACGTCTGATGGGTGTCACAAGAGAAGCAGGAACTGCTGACCCTTCAGGAAAACCTGAGGTACTCAGTGTATCCACCTACACATCCCTGATGAGAAATAACTTGAGGATCCAAGGCTCAGCTGGATTACTTTTGGTTCAAAGCAAATATAGCAAAAGTAATAAGTGGCTTGTAGAGTGTCACTCAAAACATTTCAATGTGTAAATTGTTACAGAGATGATTATTGAAAATAAGCCAATCAGAATCAACAATTCCCTCTGGTGGCCATGTTTTTGGTGTGATCAGAACCAAATGAGAATAGCTTGTATTTAATTATTCAAATAATTGATTTCAAATTGGCCAAGTGGTTTCAGAGCAGTAGATGAAAAGGTAATTTTTCATTAAGTATCAATGGGAATTATTTGCCACCAAATGCCACTTATTCGCATTAAATGAAAACTGTTGTTAGAGGGTCTCCCATACTCAATCTGGAAAACTTTCAAAGAAGAAGATAAAGCCATGAAGATGTGTGACACTGACAACAAAAGTGCCAAAAGATGACAATAGCTCACAGTGCCTTTCAGCCCAGGTGAGCTGAAATTGAAATTACAATAGAACACTGATGATTCATGCATGTGAAATTCACATTCATTACAAACCTATTTAACCTATGAATTTTTCTGCAGTTTCTTCATTTTTGAGAATTGAAAACAGCTTTAGTTTCATATGTACAATCTTACTGTGATAATAAAGGGAAACAACTGCTACGTAATTAAATATTCCCAAATAATAATGCAAGCTTGCTCCTCATTTATCCGGAAGTTTTTTTTTAAGAGGTTGTCTGGAATAATTTTGAATTCTGGAAAATTGATTAGAAATGTATGATGAAAACTAACCAAACTAAATAGGGTTAGCCATGTGTGCATGGCTTAGGTTAATTTTACTTTCACTGATATTTCAGTATGAACTAACTAACACCCCTAAGCCATGCATGCATGGCTATCCCTCCTAAATTGGGTTAGTTTTCATCATACATTTTTTATCAATTTTCTAGAATTCAAAATTACTCCAGATTCAATTAATTCCTTGTTTATAGTAGGTTTGCCAATACAAGCACCAAAATATTCCCTAAAAACCAGATAAAAAGATTTCCTGATCAAAAGATATCCAACATAAAATTTGGCAAATTTATTTTCCATGTTTATAATTTTTGATGGTAAATTGAGACCCTCTTTTAATGACCAATTGTTGGTTGAAATTGACCAAGTTGTTTCAGAAAGATTTCTCAAAATACAATATAAGAACAGAGTTATAACACTTTGTCCATGTAATACCATCATATCCCATTGGCTATGTGTGATAACTTTCAATGCCAGATATAATCTGAATTGTAGTCAAAAACCCAGAAAATTAAGTTGTAATATCCCAAAATAAACAATTTTTATTGTCGAAAACAGGTGAAATTGATAGTAAAGACTATAATTTAAGGATTTATATCATTTTTACTCAATTCAATAAAAATTTTAACTTCAGAACTACAATTTTTCTTTCTTGTATGCATGTTCCATGTGTAACAATATATGAGGGTCTGGACTGGGGTTCCTTCATTTCTATATTCTTTAATTTTTTAGGCCATTTTTCTCTATTCTTTATACTTTTTGCCCATTATTCTCTATTCTTTATATTTTAGCACCTTATTATTCTCTATTCTTTTTTTTTGTCCATTTTTCTCTATTCTTAATATTTTTTGTCCTTATTCTCTATTCGGTAACCCCCCATCCACACCCTCATATATGGTGAATGTAATATAATGCAAAAGGTAGATAACTCTATCTTAATAAAGGTATTGAAAATTATGAAAATGTTCATTATAAACTACAAAATTATAAAATTGATTCTTTACTCTTCAAACAGTAATGTCATGAATGTGGTTAATATATCCCTAAATTATAGTCTTTATAATCAATTTCAACTGTTTCAACACTATTCATTGGTTATTTCAGGATTTTTACTTCATTTTGGGTAAACTTGGGCATTCAAGGTACCCTGCTATGTTAGCTTATATAAATAAAAAAGTTCCAATTGTGTAAATAAAATAAAACATGGATTTCAGGGCTCAGCATGCTTTTAAAAGAGAACTGATGTATAAAATACTGTATCTTCAGATCAGATTGTTAAAATGATAAAGTGAAGTGGTGGGCGACTGAAAATGATATATAATTTGTGAAACTTACAAAAACAAAAAAATATAGAAAGTAGATAATAACTAACAAAACATACCGTTTTAATGGGATTTTTATAAAACGGAAACAGGAAGAATTTTTTCTGCTTTTTTTATCTTTAGTTCAGTCTAACATTTTTCTTAGAAACAGCTTGTCAGCCTATATATAAGTTGATATCATCTGATAATTCGAAGTATTTCAATCAGCGAGTTGGGAAGGTCCAGATGTGTATGAACAAATAGAAAGAAGGATAACAATTTGCAGCTCAGTTGTTGGTATGTATACATTATTTTAAAAAAAAAATATGAGTGTATAAAAGCAATCAATGAATTGAACTGTTTGAAAAAATATAAACTTGTGGTTGCCTAAATAATATAGTGAAATAATACACTTAGTTTGAAATGCACCTTCCTGGACTTGTGGTAGCGTGCTTACCTAGAGTGGGAAAGATCCTGGATTCCCATGGCCAGGTCAAACTAAAGAACTGAAAATTGGTATTTGCTGCTTCTCCACCAAGCACACAGCATTATGGAGTAAGAGAAAGAAACTGGTCGGCTGAAAGTCAGAATAAAGTGTCTGGGTAGGGTAACATGTCTTCCTGGGGGTTGTTACCATGAGTGCTAGCCTGTTAAAATCTTGCACAGTATTTAGGTCTAGTACAAACAAGGGGTTCATATTCGTATCATTAGTCATTAACATGTTATTCTCCTGATAGGCATGTAATATTGGCCACTGGACAATAAAATACCAATCAATCCATCTATGGAATGTTTAGCTTAGTCATGAAGGAGAAATTCTTTAAGTTCAATAAATATGACATTAAGTTTTGAATACTATACACAAGAAACTCTTGTATTGTATACAAAGCTATATGCACACTTCTCTATGGAAATGGATTCTGTTTGCATGTGTATATTTGGTTGGCATTAAAAATCGAGTAGGAATATGAACTACTGGTACAACTGCTGTAAGCACATTGTATAAAAGTGTAAATACCCCTGATCTCAATTATAACAACTGTATTAACCCAAATATAATCATATAAATCTATGCAACTGTTTCACTGAAAACCATCCAATTAAGTATCAATCTATTGTACATGGAACCGCTAAAAGGAGACAACAGATAGTGTCAGAATGATATCCTCAAATTTAACTTGAGACATTTAATTGTTTGAAAATCAAAATCTTATACCTCACAAAATTTGTTTAGGCACTATAATTATGTATAATAAAAAAAAATTCTTTCAAATTTATACATAATATTTTTCTCTAAAAAAATTCTGTTTTGTAAATATTGAAATTATGTTCCACAAACGATTAGATCTAATAGCATGACTGTCGTTAAGCCACTACAACTAGAAAATATCCTATACCCATCCCATCTTCCATTATATGTCAGTGGCAAATCCAGAAATTTTCATAAGAGGGGGCCCACTGACTGCCTAAGAGGGGGCCCGCTCCAGTCATGCTTCAGTGTCTGTGATTCCCTATATAATCTACCAAATTTTTCCCACAAAAGGGGGGGGGGGGGGCCCGGGCCCCCTGCCACCCCCCTAAATCCGCCTCTGTATGTTATGCACAGCTACCCCCTTGCCCTTTCCTTCTCGTGAATACCAGCAGTTACTAATGACAGATAAATCATAGTATATATTTTCTAATTTCCATTATTCTATTTATTTTTTTATAGGTAAATAAGACACAGATAAACATCATTACTAAACTATTTCAAAATTAAAGAGGATGTCTCACAACAAAGCAGAATCACTGCATTTTTATAAATATCTGTGTCATAAGATTGGTTCAGAGGAAGTTGTAAAAGCGCGACGACTGACACTGACAAGTATTGATATGACATCTTCATCTCAAGACTTTTTGAGACTAAGCAGTGGCAGTAAAGGAGAAGGTCTAAATCTAAACGGTAGTGATTTTGATGTGATGTTCATTGATTTATTCTTCATAGTAAATGAATCAGAGAGAGTAGCTGTCAATGATCATGATTGTGTGTTAGTCATGGAAACAGAAGACACACAACCTTGTTACACATATCTTCATCTTTTCACCAATTATAACATTTTACCACACAAATACAAACAATTGCTTCAGCAACAATCTGGGAAGAATCTTATTTCAAGTGAACTTTACAAATTATGGATGTTAAACAATTTTAAAGAAGCAGGCTATGGCAATTTACTGATAAACCATATGCATGGACCCTGCTTATCAGATAAAAATGATAAGAATGATCTTGCTTTCTGCCTTAAATGTGATCAATGGGTCTCTCAAGCACAACCATGGATCACCAGACCACGTGCAACATGGCCGTCACCTGAACTGATTTCAAAAATTACTTTATGTGGTGTATTATTTGTTCCTATTGGCTACAAAGGATCTAGAAATGAGCATCTACAATGGAGAATATCATTTTCAATAGCTGAAAAGTTACTTGTATATTCTTTCAGTCATACCCAGTTTCTATGTTATGCACTATTAAAAATTTTATTAAAAGAAATAGTAGATAGAAATGAAAACTTAAAAGGTTTATTATGTTCATATTTCTTGAAAACACTGATGTTTTGGATTTCAGAGGAAACAGAACCTTATATCTGGAGATCAGACAATATTATACCATGTTTTATGGTATGTTTAAAAAGATTGTTATACTGTATTGAATATTCTACATTGTTACATTATTTCATTCCCGACAATAACTTGTTCCATTTAAGGTTTAACAACAAAAACAGGGACACATTAATCAATATCTTAAAGAATTCATATATAAAAGGAATTAAGATTTTCTCATCTTCTGAGACTCTGCATGACTACAGAAGATTTCATAATGAAATTACCAGATCAGAAAGCAAAAATGCTAGATTAATCCAAGAAATAGGGACTTTTTTTAACACTGAAATGTCTCTAGTAAGTTCTTGTTCTGATTGTGAGGAGGGTATACAGAAGGTATTCATCACTTTTCTGTATCATTGTAGAACTGAAATATCTAAATGTATTTTTACTATTTCTTTATCAAAAAATTACAGATCAATACCTCATAAACTACAACAAAGAAATAACCCAAACAATAAACACCAGTACAACAAATACAGACATGAACTCAGTCAGCTATTGGTTGGTTCACATTCAGATGCTGTATCAGGATGGCTGAAATTGGCCTCTTTCTTCTATGTCCATAAACATTACTTACACTCAATAGCAATAATAAATTATGCTTTGTCAAAATGTACAAATGAAATTGTGTATCCTGAACCTTTTTGTACATTTATTAAAATGCAAGAATGTGAGCTGAAAATGATAATGCAAGAAAGGCTGAGCTCAGTATGGAAAAAAATAATAATTCAAAATGTAGTATTAGACTGTGTTGTCTTACCAACAGAACTACCTAGGTCTATTAGTGATAATTATGAAACTGTTTTTGATCCCATATCATTTGCACACCTACTAAGTTCACTAACTAATAACCATCTCAAGGATAATATATCAAGTAGGCAATCCATGTTACAATTTATAGATAGACAATTTAAAATCACGATACCAGAAGAATATGAAATCATTCCAAGAAATATGTTCAGTAATCCAAATCATTCTAGACTATTGTATGAATGGATAGCCACATTTTTTAATATACTTATAAAAGTGTTGTAATCAGACCTACAATTTGTTTATGGTTTGTTGCAGACATAAACCTGCTACTAATAATACCAAAACTAATATTTCTTTTGCCAGAATATAAAATTAAGACTCAAAAGAGCCTGAAAAGACTTGAAACTAATATTTTATAATATATAAACAAGTTCAAAGGTTAAAATTAGATCACATGTAAATCAACTAGAGGTACTCGTATGTAGTCTGAAACAACAACAAAAATGTACTAATTGCATAACTATGTGTAATAAACATATGTGTAATCTAAACTACCAAATATGTACTTATTGCACAACTATGTGCTATAAATATATGTAATTTGAATGTACATAAAATATACTTATTGCATAAAAATGTGTTATCATTTGTTATCTGAAACTACCAGAAAATGCACTTATTGCATAACTGTGTGCAAATATCAGCTGAGCTGTTACAAGGAAAAATTTGTCTGCCCCCTCCCTCATAATGTATTTTTAGCAACTACAGTAATACTGATTGGCCTAAAATTATTTTATAAAATTATTAACACAAGGAATTATAATTCTGGAAAATTGCTAAGAAATGTATGATGACAACTTATAATAATGAACCTAACTAAAAAGGACTAGGCATGCACCCATGGCTAAGGTTCAGGTTACTTAACTAAAATTTCAGTATGAAATAACTAACCCCCTTTGCCAAGTGTGTTTGGCTAACCCTCCAAAATTGGGTAAGTTTTCATCACACATTTCTTATCAATTTTCCAGAATTGAAAATAATTCCAGATTCAAATAATTCCTTGTTTGAAAATGTTTACCTTGGAACTACCAGACTTTAATAATTCAACTTAGCATTTAATTAAAACTTAACTACACGTGATTCTATTATTTGCAGAAGGTTACGTAATGTTGTCATTTTTGCGGTATTTTTAACATTGCCATAAAAGCGGGAGGTTTGGCTAGGCATAAAACCAGGTTCAACCCACCATTTTTTCTTAAAATGTCCTGTACCAAGTCAGGAATATGGCAGTTGTTATCAAATAGTCTGTTTCTATGTATGTTGGCGTTTGTTTTTGTAGCAGTTCAGTGTTTATGTTGTTCCATTGTTTTCCTCTTATAGTTGATGTGTTTCCCTCCGTTTTGGTTTGTGATCCGTCCCGGAATGTTGTTTCAGTTAAATCGATTTATGACTATTGAACAGCGGTATACTACTGTTGCCTTAACTTACCATTAACCATTAGTCAACTCATTTTTTGATAAAATAAAACCAAATAGTAAGTGCACAACTTCATTTGCCAGTTTGGTTGAATTATGTCAATATAAAAAGCAGATGTGGTATGATTGCCAATGAGACAACTCTCCACAAGAGACCAAATGACACAGAAATTAACAACTACAGGTCACCGTACGGCCTTCAAATCAAGACTTTTTCAAGGAGTTTCAGTGTAACAGACATTAATATATAAGCAGAAATGGCTTTAAGTCCATATTTTGGTATGGGAAACCCCCTAAAATATTAAAAATTCTAAATAGCAGATGGACAACTTCATGTCATGAAGAAAAATCAGTGCAACTTTAGTTGAATTTTCTCAAACCCTTTTCAAGGAGTTGCAGGTTAACTAAGTGTGACACAGACAATGTGAACGACAACCCAGGACGACAAAAGAGATCCTTATATATTAATGTTAAAAGACTAAAGATTTTGTTGTTATAAGAGAGGTCTTCGGTTTAAACTGTTAAATTCAACTGTTAAATAAATATTATATTCATTTTATTTCCTGATACAAGAAATTAAGTAACACAAATTCAGGATTTAGCAAAGTTTGATTTACACAGGTTTCACAGTACTTCTGTATATGATAAGTATATCAATAGGGAGATGAGGTATGTTTGCTTATGAGACAACTATCCACCAGAGACCAAGCAAATGAGTATGTGAACAAGGTTAGGTGACTGTTCAGTCTTCAACAATGAGCAAAACCCATACCACACAGCAAGCTTTATATAAGCATGACAAAATGTGAAACAATTCAAGAGACAAAATTGCTATGCTGTAGCTAAATGTCCCCAGGATTTAATGAGAATTTAAATTGTGTGTCACAATGTGCCTTTGTGGTATGATAGTCAAAATATGGTAAAAGTGGCATAACATTAAATGGTCAAATCAAAATGACAGTATAATGTGGTCAACTACATGTACAAGATGGCAAACATCCACTTTATTTGAACTTTGGTGGATAGTTGTCTCATTGGCAATCATACCTCATCTCCTTATTTTTATAAACCAAGTATGAGAGATTTCTGTCGAATGGTCTCAAGGGAGTTGTGTTCACAATGTGACACTATTATAACACTCCCATAAAAATAGTCCAAGTCAAATATTACTCCTTTTAAAATGGTCAGATCAAAATAACAATTTAATATGGTCAACTGCACATGATGGCAAACAATACTACCAAGTATGAGAGCTTTTTATTAAACTGTCACAGAGAAGTTGCGTTCAAAAGGTGCTTTTGTCACATTTACTCCAACAAATGGTCAAAGTCCCATATTATGACTCCTGTAAAGATGGTCCAATTAAAATGGCCGTACAAAATGGTCTACTACACATGATAGCCAACAATCCTACTAACTTACAACTATGAGAGCTTTCTGTAAAACAGTCTCAGAGGAGTTGCATTCACAAGGTGTTGTTGTCATAATAATAAAAAAAAATGGTCAAAGTCCCATAACTCCTGTAAAAATGGTCAAATCAAAATATCAGTGCAATATGGTCAACTACAGATAACAGATTCAAGGGAGTTGTGTTCCCAAGGTGCCATTGTTAGAATACTAAAACTAGAGGCTCTCAAGAGCCTGTGTCGCTCACCTGACTCTACTTTGGTTTTAGAAATCATGTAAAGATAGATAAAAATCATATCAGATACCCAAATAATGATTGAGGCCAAATTTTGATTAATATTGGTCCCGTTATTTAATAAAATATCCTGGTGGCCATCTTGAACAGTAAATCGGCAACAAAGTAGCAACACTTGGTCAGCACTTCATAAGGAACATTCATGCCATGTTTGGTTTTATTCCATTCAGTGGTACTCTAAAAGAAGACATTTGTATGTATTTCCCATAGGGTCCTATGTTAAACTAAGCCCCCCCCCTAGCGGCCATCTTGGATGATGGATCGACTGCAAAGTAACAACACTTGGTCAGCAACTCATAAGGAACATTCATGCCATGTTTGGTACAATTCCATTCAGTGGTTCTCTAAAAGAAGACAATTGTATGTATTTCCCATAGGGTCCTATGTTAAACTAAGTCCCCCGCTGTCGGCCATCTTGGATGATGGATCGGCTGCAAAGTAACAACACTTGGTCAACATCTCATAAGGAACATTCATGCCATGTTTGGTTCCATTCCATTTATTGGTTCTCTAAAAGAAGACATTTTTATGTATTTCCCAAAGGGTCCTATGTAAAACTAAGTCCCCCGCTGGCGGCCATCTTGGATGATGGACCGACTGCAAAGTAACAACACTTGGTAAGCATCTCATAAGGAAGATTCATGCCATGTTTGGTTTCATTCCATTCAATGGTTCTCTAAAAGAAGACATTTGTATGTATTTCCCATAGGTCCTTTGTTAAACTAAGTCCCCTGCTGTCGGCCATCTTGGATGATGGACCGACTGCAAAGTAACAACACTTGGTCAGCACCTCATAAAGAACATTCATGCCATGTTTGGTTTCATTCCATTCAGTGGTTCTCTAAAAGAAGACATTTGTATGTATTTCCCATAGGGTCCTATGTTAAACTAAGTCCCCTGCTGGCGGCCATCTTGGATGATGAATCGGCTACAAAGTAACAACACTTGGTCAGAACCTCATAAGGAAAATTCATGCCATGTTTGGTTTCATTCCATTCAGTGGTTCTCTAAAAGAAGACATTTGTATGTATTTCCCATAGGGTCCTATGTTAAACTAAGTCCCCCGCTGGCTGCCACCTTGGATGATGGACCGACTGCAAAGTAACAACACTTGGTCAGCATCTCATAAGGAACATGCATGCCATGTTTGGTTCCATTCCATGAAGGGGAAGTTGTGATAGCAAGTGCTGGATAGGGTAAACATTTTAAGCTCAAAGAGGCATGTCTCTTGAAAAACTCAATGGACTGGCGCATCCTATCCGCATCTGATATTTGGATTTTACAATTACCAAGTTTGGTGTAGATACAATAAAACATATACATTGTAGAAGGAGCAAGATTGGTGCTGGACAGGGCCAAAATTTCTAGGTTGAAAGGGGCATAACTCTAAAAAAAAAGCTCAATGGAGGGAATATCCTACCCACATGCACATCTGTATATTAGTATCCAACAGAGTAGTACGTTTCATGTAAATACAATTAATTATGCAGGAGGAGTTGCAATGACAAGTAGATTCTGAAATGGGTCAAAATTTCTAAGGAGAAAGGGGCATAATTCTGGATAAACTAAATAGAATAAAAAAAACTTCACATGCTGATGTTTGCATATCATGATCAATTATTCTACAAGTGAATCAAACAAAGGATAAAGAAGTTGGTACTGACAAGACAGGCTAATTCCTATTTAGGACATTACAGATATGCTGATAGGGATTGTTTAGAAAAATACAAAGAAGATAATTGCATTAAAATTGGAAAAAAATTAGTACTGTACATTAAAACTAGTTTTAGTGAAAGTTTTTTTAATCCTTTTTGGATCATTTTTCAGACATGGGTTTGGCCATATACTAATGTAATACCCAAAATCAATACCAGCCTTTGTTTGTGCCACAGAACATTGTGAAAAACTATCATTCCATGCAAAATACAAGTTATTGTGAAAAAACATTGTACCTGAAGGCAGAACATTACTTGAAACTCACAGAAACAATTATACAACTGTAAAACTTATGGTTGAAAAAAGATTGCATAAAAATAAATGCAGTACATCAGAACTAGTAAAAATACTATTTAATGCCCCTTTAGAACATTCTTTCAAAAATAAGTAACTATTAGGCAGGAATCCACCAAATCACTACAAGCATTCTTTGTATGAAATGACATACAGGGGCTGCTCTGGCTCCTATAAAGTTGGAGCTAGAAAAATCGCCAGCTGCTATATTTTGTCGCCAGTTTGGAAAAATTGGAGCCAACATTAGAGCCAGCTAGAGTCTTGATTTCCTCTAATCACATAGAAACCAATTAATTTAAATTTCGTATGGACTCATCATCCTTTAACTTAAAGTTATAATTTGTCATGTAATGTATGCCCTGTTATTTTATGTTTTTTCTTACTTTCTGAGAAAGCAAAACAAACAGGTTCACTGACACCAGGGTTTAAGCTAGGATTTTTAGGGGGCTTTAAGTCACTTTCGTGTGGTAAAAAAGATACATATTGTATGGTTTTGTTTTGATTGTTATGTCTCAAAACAGGGACTAATATAATGAATCTATTGGTCAATGTTCCTGTCCTGGTCTGTATGTGCTGCAGAATAGAGAAAAATGTTTTAAAATTAAAATTAAATAATAGAGAAAAATTGGCAAAAAATGAAGAAGAATGAATAACAGGTACTTAAATATACAGAATATAGAAAATTTGTATATTAAAAAAAAAAGAAAATAGAAAATGACCCAAGCCCCTTTCCCAAATCCCCTATCAAGATCCTCTTAGCTTTGCACCATATAAACTCAAAAGAACTCCTAAACCAATAAGTCATGAAGTCAGAAGTATGAAGACATGTCTTGAGTAGGTATTTCAATACTAGGAAAAATTATATTTGGGTTATCATTCTTGTTTCGGGTGTGCTCCTACTTCTCTGGAGGATATAATTATAATACACAGTAGACGGGAATACAATCAATGGCAGTTGCATGTTATTCTATTATTAAAACTTTTAAAGTGAGGACAGGCAAAGACAAAATACGTCTGAATTAAAAAAAAAATAACGGAATTCAAGTGAAACGATGTTTATATAAGTTCATTACAATTTAAATCTTTCTGTCAATTGCGAATTCATCATGAAACTACGGTAAACTTTGCAAATTGTATGGAAGTAAGTCGAAATGACAAATGCTGACTGATGCTATTTGTATTAATTAATTTCGATCCTCATTAATGACTCATCGAATTAGTGGATTACCTGTAACAACAAATTATGACACCTGTTGATTAACTTGGGTCGTAAACAAAATCATGAACTTGTCGCCAGGTAAATTTTCTTTACTTTCACAAATTTGAGTGACCATCGATTTTATTACCGTTACAGTCAAGATAGGAATTTTTTGACATGGGAATATTTGGCACAAGAAATATCACCAGCAGCTGTATTTTGTCGCCAGATGAAATAATAAATGGCAATTTGCGACGTTGGCGAAGCCCAGTGCGGTCCCTGACATTGTTCGAAATTTCATTAGAATAAATAGCAAACACAAACGTAAAAAAACATTCATTGTGTCTGCGCTGACACACCAATACCATAGTACACATGGGACTGCTTAAATTAGCATTTACAAACAGCAGAGGCTCTAAAGAGCCTGTGTTGCTCACCTGGATTGATGTGCATCTTCATCAATAGTCACTCTCCAACAATATAGACTAGAATATAATTGATGACTTGAATCTTTTTTTTATTGATATTGCATTGCTGATAATTTACCAAAGTTTTTTTCTCTCCCAAAAACCAAAAAATGGGTAATAAATAATAAGGGCAATTACTCCTATAGGAAGTTGACTGACAATTTCGGAAAAGTTGACCTTTTACTAGATTAAGAGTTGATGATCAATTTCCCTGGTTAGACTTTCTCTTCAGGATTTGCCAAAAATGCAAAAGAAATTGGGTAAAAGTTGTCATGTGAGGGCAATTACTTCTGGAAAAACTAGGCTGAAAATTTCGACTATGTTGACTTATTTGTAGATCTTGATTTGCTGATCATTTTTGCTGTATACAGTCTTTCTTTATCTACTAGAGTTTCACCAAAAATGCAAAAATAGGTAAAAATCATCACTAAAGGTCAAGAAGCTCAAGTCGATTAACAATTTCCTCTATATTGAACTTATTTATAGATCTTTTCCTGCTAATCCTTTTTGCTTTTTAAAGTTTCTGTCTATCAATTATAATTTTCGAGATATATGTAATAGGCAAAAATTATAAAAAATTATAAACTGGTCATTGAGGGGCAATAACTCGATCTTATAAGGAGTCAACTGACAGCTTCAGCCATGTTGAAAAAAATGAAAACAACACTATAAATTTCGTACGTCCAATGCACTTTTCTGGATTTACCTTCATCAGAAGCGCTTAAAGCCAAATACTTGAAAGCCAAGGATGTATGAGAGCCGAAACAGTAACTTTGCCTGAAGTAGTTGAAACCTTAGTTTCTTTATCATTTTTACCAATTTGTAGATCTTTTCTTGTTTTTCAGTTTTGCTTTTAAAATTTTTTGTTTATCTATTATAATTTTCAAGATACATGTATAACGACAAAAAATGCCATATTGGAGTGCAAACTGGTTTATTTCCTTACCTGACTTTTACACTAAATTAAAACATGTGGTAGAAGCATCGTTGATAAGAGATCCCTACTAGATTGTAATAATGAATTAAAAAAGGCTATTAAAATCACATAAAAATTGTTCAAAAAATTGCTATTCCTAAAGTCTAGCTGTCAGAATATCAAGTTTTATTTGGTTTTTAATGCAGGAATTTGTGTATGCTGACCCCCAACATGGTGCATGTGGCAAAGGGAAATAACTCTAATCCATATTATATCAAAACAAAACTTTCTGTTACTAAACTTACCAAATTCACACAATCCAGTAGAGATTGATCTGTTGCACGGACAAGGATAACATGGGTGACGTCTTTGTGTTCTAAAATATGTATGTGCACAATTCTCACAGAACAACCCACTATGACCTTGCTTACAGTCACACTGAGGAATCAAGAGTGCAGGATACATTTTAACTTTGTGACATTTTTTCCCGTTTTCCTTCGCACCATATGGATCACAGTAACAACCACCATCTGAAATAAATCAATCTTTCAATATTTCCAAGAAAAAAATCTGTAGTACTTGATCAGTGATATAATATTTTACCCCCTTTGGGAAATGAATATGAAATGCGGATTAAAAATTTTATGGATTTTATGGATATAGATGAACTAGAATTCGAGTGATCAATAAATAAAAATTTCCAATTGACTTGTATGCAAAGTTGTCATAACACTAATGGAGTATTCATGAAAATGAAATATCTCCTTCATCCAAGAAAATTGGTACCCCAGGAAGATAATGAATTGATAATTGAATTGATGTCAATGTGACTATTTTGTAAGATGGAGTGTATAAAATAATAAATTGTAACATCTAAAAACATCCAGTTAACCCAGTTCCATCAACGGTTATATGAGATCTAGGAAAGAGTGGTCACATTCTTTATGTGTCTGTCCCAAGTCAGTGGCCTGTAGTTCAGTGGTTGTCGTTGGTCCATGTCCCTCATATTTCGTTTTCGTAAATTGTTTATTTATAAATTAGGCTATAAGTTTTCTCAATTGAATTGTTTCATATTTTTCATGTCAGGGCCTTTTATAGCAGACCATACGGCATGGGTTTTTCTCATTGTTGAAGGCCGTATAGTTGCCTATAACTGCTTACATCCACTTCATTTGAACTTTGGTGGATAGTTATTTCATTGGGAATAATACCACATCTCCTTGTTTTTATATTCAAAGCTAAATGAACTTAAAGTTTCAAACTGTGATCTTTGTAGTAATCCAGTACCAAATGTCTGACATATTTTAATGAATTTGGGGAAGACTGCTGTAGTGTATCTACTAATTATTTACCAGGTATAAAAGTTGAAGTTGTATTTAGTTCTGCTAATGTTGTTACATAAATATCTTCACTCTTCATAAAAGTTATACTCTTATAGTAAGCTGTCACTGAAATCTGGTATGTGGTGTCTGGCTGTAAACCTTTCATGTGGTACTCTGTTTCATTCTTGGACAAATTAACAATTGTATTGTTTGTTTCTGAAATCAAACATTGTATTAAACAACAAGGAACATAGCAAAATACCCAACAATCACTTGATCACAAAGAGGGAACATGGAACATAGCAAAATACCCAATAATCTTGATCACAAAGTGGGAACATGGAACATAGCAAAATACCCAATGATCACTTGATCACAAAGAAGGAACATGGAACACTGCAAAATACTCATTGATTACTTGATCACAAAGTGAGAACATGGAACATAGCAAAATACCCAATGATCACTTGATCACAAAGAGGGAATCTGGAATATACCAAAATACCCAAATGATCACTTGATCACAAAGAGGGAACCTGGAACATAGCAAAAGACCCAATGATCACTTGATCACAAAGAGGGAACCTGGAACATAGCAAAATACCCAATAATCACTTGATCACAAAGAAGGAACCTGGAACATAGCAAAATACCCAATAATCTAGAAGATCTAGAGTGCATAAAAATATGAAATATTTAACAAAATTAAAATTTTCATATTTGTTTGCAATAAAAAGAAAAAATTTGACAAACAGATTTCCAATTTTGGGTACTGTAAATTCAGAAATGATTGCATGCATTGATTATTGTGATTTTTGAACAATGGCCATAATTGTAAGATGAAATATTGCTATTTTAGGAAATTCTGCATACAAATAATACTAACGAAATTTAAAATGCAAATTTTTTATTTTAGCGAAACCAAATCTGTCTCAATTGTAATAAAATGCTCTGTGGGGCGCAGCTTGATACAACCAAAGAGGTCAAACCCTGAACAGTTTGGGCAAGTATGGACACTACATTCAAACTTGCAGCTCTGAATTTGGATTGTGATTAAATATTTGACACATCATAGGTTTCTGACACATGATGAATGTGGTCAAAGAACTGAAAAATTTGAAATTGGACTTTTACCTATTATGGTCCAATGTCCAAAATCTAAATACATTCTTAAAATAGAACAATGCATGAACAATAATCACTAAAATTAATATTATATATCTGAATTGATCAGCAAAATTCTTAGTAACATTTAAAAATAAAATGGCAGCTTCTCATTTGCATGTGGATACAACCATAACTCCCAAATTCAATCCAACCTTCCTTTTGTGAAATGGAATTTTATGGTACAATTTCATAGAGATCCATACACTTATTGTCAAGCTATTGTCTGGAAACCAAATGTCTTCGGACTACGAGGACGACAACCCCATACCATTATACGGCCACAAATCGTTTGCGGTCATATAAAAACCTCACAAATTTTTTGAAATTACAGTAAATATAAATTCTATTTGTATTACTATAATCACCTGTAATCAAACTGAACATTACATTTTATTTGTTCTTTTTTTGTACATGCATCACAATACCTGTTCCATTTTCCTTCCATTTTACCATGTATTCTATTAAGTGAGCCTTGTGAAAAGGAACCAGTTCATGTCCAACCCAGGTTGATACATTCATCTTCTCTTCTGTACTGGTTCCAGCTGCTGGTTTCTCTGTAACTACATTGTATGTCTTTTCAGGTTGGGAATGAGTAGACAACTGGTTTCCACTGATAGGTCTGTCAATGGGGTCAACACTAGATAGATCCATGAAGAAAGGTATTTTCAGATGGTAGTTCTCTGGTTCATACCAATAAATATATATGTTATACATCCCCACATACCCTGTTGTTATGTTGCCTGGTGGGTGTAACTTAATCAGTCCTGTTGGTAATCCAATATCAGGCTTAACTAAAAAATACAAGAAATTTTCTGAATACCAAGTCCATGAAGTCAGCACAATTAGAAGAAGAATAATATACAATTACTGTCTTTTATAGGGGGAAAAATGTGGTTTTATTGACTTTTGAAAAACTGATATTTACTGATGCCATTGGCCGAAGTGAATGTCAGTTTTTCAAACGTCAAGTAAACCACATATTTACCAAAACAAAAGACAATAATTGTATTATTCTGTATTCTGAGAGAGAACATGTATGTAATGACAATTAATTACCAAAACCAATTGTACATCACACCATGTTACCATTATAATACACGAAAAAAGCATGCGACGTATACATGTACTTTTTTCCACAGGGTCAATATGCTGTTTCAATTATTGCGAACCCAATGATACTTTTCCACAGATTCACATACAAGTTACCTGTCAATTTAAACTTTTGTAAGTTCTTTTGTCCCATTAAATAAATACAATAGCTATTGTTCTCTGTGTAGTTAATTTGATGGGATCTTTAAATTTCTTCCAAGAGAAATCTAACACTCACTGATTAAATTACCTGAACAAAAAATTGAACTGTCAAAAATGAAAATACATGTACAAATACTACAAATACAAAATATTTCGGCTAAACATCATGGTGGATGAAGTTCAAACTATTTCACATAAGGGATTTAACACTTGTGGTTTTTAAAGTAAAGGTGATTCACGTCGATTTTCCGATTTGGAAATTTCACAGGAAATTCATTTATTGATGTAAAATACGGGTCGTATACGGATTGATTTGTGCAAAAAAAAAGAAATTTACATTGGAATGAAATATTAAATGTTCATATACAATGTAGTTATAAAACTATATCTATTTCTTCGTCTTATACAAGTCATGCACATTTTATTCCAGGTAAGTCCAGAACCATAAAATTGTTACAATAATCATTGTTATACATGAATATGTACAGTAAGATATATAAATGGTTCTCTGATTAACTTAATGGTCAGGCTTGCCAGCTTTTATGAGGGTCTGGATGGGGTTTACAGAATAGAGAATAATTGGCAATAAATTGCTTCGCTGAGCGCAGCTGGATACGACCGCAGATGTCCAACCCTGAAAAGTTGTGGCCAAAATGGACACAATATTCACTCTTGATACAGGTCTGAATTTGGATTGTAATTGAATTTTTGACACATAATAGGTTTTTGACACAGAATAACTGTAGTCAAAGAACTTCAAATTGTTTATATGCTTTGAATTTATATTCAATTTTTTGCTTTTGTGCAATACACTATGCGAATTGACCCCTCAAGTTACGGTCAGTATCTCAGACAATCATCATTTCTTAATACATAATTTACAAGCAGTGTGAGGGAGGTAATCAAACATTGTTATTTAAATTGATTTGGATTTTGATTTGGATTACCTCCCTTACACTGCTTTTACATCGTCTCAATTGTCCTTTAACCAGAAAAACCCGTGTTTTTTCCCTTTTTTGCCCCTAATTCCTAAATGGTTTGAGCCATAACCCCCCAAAGTCAATCCTAACCATCCCTTTGTAGTATGGAAACTTGTGGTATAATTTCAGAGAGATTCATACACTTTAACACAAGTTGTTGTCTGGAAACTACAAGAATGCTTATTTGGGCCCCTTTTTTGGCCCCTAATTCCTAAACAGTTGGGAGCATAACCCCCAAAATCAATCCCAACCTTCCTTTAGTGGTTATAAACCTTGAGTTAAAATTTTATTGATTTCTATTTACTTATACTAAAGTTATTATCTGGAAACCATCTGTCTTCGGACGACGCTGACGATGACGACGACGACAACGTGATACCAATATACGACCAAAAAATTTTTAATTTTTGCGGTCGTATAAAAAAATTTAAATTTTTGCGGTCGTATAAAAAGTGCAGAATAAAGGGCAAAAATAGGACAAAGAAATAAAGAATAGAGAATAATAGGGTACTGAAATATAAGAATAGAGAATAATGGTCAAAATAAATCAATAAAGAATAGAGAACAAGAGTGCACACGCTGAAATGTCTCGCCTTCTTTACTAATCATTGATATTATGTTGATAGTCCTAAATATAAAGCTTTATTACAACTGTCACATAAACTTAACATTAACCAAGTAAACTAAACATTGACCAATGAACCATGAAAATGAGGTCAAGGTCAGATGAACCATGCTAGACAGGCATGTACAGCTAACAATTCTTCCATACAACAAATATAGTTGACCTATTGCTTATAGTTTAAGAAAAACAGACGAAAACACAAAAACTTAACACTGAACAATGAACCTTGAAAATGAGGTCAAGGTCAAATAAAACCTGCGTGACTGACATATAGATCATAAAATATTTCCATACACCAAATATAGTTGAACTATTGCATATAGTATTAGAAAAAAAGAACAAAACTCAAAAACTTAACTTTGACCACTGAACCATGAAAATGAGGTCAAGGTAAGATGACACCTGCCAGCTAGACATGTACACCTTACAATCATTCCATACACCAAATATAGCTGACCTATTGCATGCAGTATTAGAAAGAAAGACCAAAACTCAAAAACTTAACTTTGACCACTGAACCATGAAAATGAGGTCAAGGTCAGATGACACCTGCCAGCTAGACATGTACACCTTACAATCATTCCATACACCAAATATAGTAGACCTATTGCATACAGTATAAGAAAAACAGACCAAAACACAAAAACTTAACTATAACCACCGAACCATGAAAATGAGGTCAAGGTCAGATGACACCTGCCAGTTGGACATGTACACCTTACAGTCCTTCCATACACCGAATATACTAGACCTATTGCTTATAGTATCTGAGATATGGACTTGACCACGAAAACTTAACCTTGTTCACTGATCCATGAAATGAGGTCGAGGTCAAGTGAAAACTGTCTGACGGGCATGAGGACCTTGCAAGGTACGCACATACCAAATATAGTTATCCTATTACTTATAATAAGAGAGAATTTAACATTACAAAAAATCTGAACTTTTTTTTCAAGTAGTCACTGAACCATGAAAATGAGGTCAAGGACATTGGACATGTGACTGACGGAAACTTCGTAACATGAGGCATCCATATACAAAGTATGAAGCATCCAGGTCTTCCATCTTCTAAAATATAAAGCTTTTAAGAAGTTAGCTAACGCCGCTGCCGCCGCCGGATCGCTATCCCTATGTCGAGCTTTCTGCGACAAAAGTCGCAGGCTCGACAAAAATGGTCAAAATAAATCAACAAAGAATAGAGAAAAATGGTCAAAATAAATCAACAAAGAATAGAGAAAAATGGTCAAAATAAATCAATAAAGAATAGAGAAAAATGGTCAAAATAAATCAACAAAGAATAGAGAAAAATGGTCAAAATAAATCAACAAAGAATAGAGAAAAATGGTCAAAATAAATCAACAAAGAATAGAGAAAAATGGTCAAAATAAATCAACAAAGAATAGAGAAAAATGGTCAAAATAAATCAACAAAGAATAGAGAAAAATGGTCAAAATAAATCAACAAAGAATAGAGAAAAATGGTCAAAATAAATCAACAAAGAATAGAGAAAAATGGTCAAAATAAATCAATAAAGAATAGAGAAAAATGGTCTAAAAAGTTAAAGAATAAAGAAGGGAAGGACCCCAATATACCAAGAACCTCAATATACCAAAGACCCCAATATACCAAGAACCTCAATATACCAAGGACCCCAATATACCAAGAACCTCAATATACCAAGGACCCCAATATACCAAGAACCTCAATATACCAAGAACCTCAATATACCAAGAACCTCAATATACCAAGGACCCCAATATACCAAGAACCTCTTATACTCTTTTTGCCAAAATACACAAACATAGTAACACTTTTATTCCTCTTTGTACAACTAGGACTTCACATCTTCTTTTTCACTTTTTGTGTACATTATTGATTAATTGATTGATTGGTGTTTAATGCCACTTTCAGCACTATTGTGCTATTTCATGGCAGTCAGTTTTTATTAGTGAAGGAAGCAGGAGTGCCTGGAGAGAACCACTGACCTTCGGTATGAAAACTGCAAATCCTAGTCAATTAAGATTGGAGTCAAGCACACCTGTCATATGTGGGAATCGAACTCACAACCTCAGTGTTAACAGGCTAGTGATACAGTATTTCGACTACTAGATTACTCGGCCACCGAGGCTCCTTATGTATATTAAACGATACAGGCACATGTAAGATCATCATAGTTTTAATGTTTTCACTTATAAATCTTTTATATCCTGAGTTCAATCAACAAGTCATTATTTGTTTCTCATCTCACTTCATAGAAATAAAAGAACAGAGACTTCATGATTTTTTTAAAAGCATACTGTACATGCTGTAGAAACATTAATTTTTGAGGGGTAAAAATTCAAGGTTTTGTCTCTTAAGGATGTATTCTTCTGACGTGTCAATCTCGTTGAAATCTTGTTCAGGAATTATTTCCAAAACCTGTGATACAAGTGGAAAATATCAATGAATTTAAATTTTTTTTAATCAAACTCAACTATGGGAAAAAATTGTGTACTTACAATAAGTAGTTTTTGAGTAATAAAATTTTCAATTTTAATAAGCAATCCGGTCAGTGTCATCAGCCAAAATGTTGAGAAAATGGGTGAAGTGTACAAAGAAATGATTTTACCAAAAATATGTACATCCCATATCAATTTTTTCTTTTCAAAATTCTTAGATATGTATTTTTTCAATCATTCATAACAAAGAAGTTGATATAATATGTTTTTTGTTCTAAAAAAAAAAGAGAAAATCCTAAATTTACAGCATGGTCAATTTGACACGAAAAAGCAACAAAATTTTATAAAACTTTCTTATATTAACACCTACCTATAGTTTTTTAAAGTTAGATTTATTCAGATTGGTCCACTTCAAGTTCATCTTTAGTGAAAGTATGAAAAAAAGTTTAATTGTGAAACTGTGGTTTTTTTCATGATAATAGCCCAAAAATGGGTAA